AATGTTTGCACATGTTTGTTCAAAGTGTATGAGCGCATGAGCAAGTGGAGTGGCCAGTGTGTTCCGTTTACCCGAGTCCCTCAATGTTATTGGGCCTTCTCCTAGTAACCCCAATAGACTTCCGGGGTACCATCCGGTAAGGTTTTATATGACAAGTCCATTGATGCTCTCTGTTGTTACTGCTTCCACATGCCAATAAAAAAGGTACTTACTTGTTATCCCCAATTTGGGAAAACATTTGTAGTTACCAGCACGCTAAGGGGCAAAGGCATTTTACATAATTAGAATAAGCAGGAAAATAAGAATAAAGCAAGGGAAATACATGTTGGATTTGACAGGTAGTCTATTATATATAAGTTATATATCTACCATTAAGCCTATTGGTATTCTGTTAAATATTATATTGACCAGATTAGTATTATGTGTAAATGTACAACGTGGATGTTTTCAATGTTCTCAGTTCATCTTCCAGCCAGGGTGATTTATTGTACAGAGTTATTGCAGTAGGCAGGAATGTGTTCCTGTATCGGTCCTTGTGACAGCGGAACTGCAGCAGTCTGTTGGAGAAGGAGCTCCGTTGACTGTCCAGCTGCAGGTGGAGAGGATGGGTGGGGTTATCCATGATGGACAACAGCCTGTTCAGTGTCCTCCTCTACACCACAGCTTCAAAGGGGTCCAGCTTGATGCCGATGACAGACCCAGCTTTCCTGATCAGTTTATTGATCCTGCTGGTGGCACCGGCTCTTATGCTGCCCCCCCAGCAGACCGCAGCAAAGAAGAGTGCACTGGCCACAGACTGGTAGAAGATCTCCAGCATCTGGCTGCACACGTTGAAGGATCTCAGCTTCCTCAGAAAATAGAGTCTGCTCATCCCCTTCTTGTACACAGCGCCAGTGTTGATCCTCTAGTTCAGTCCGTTGTCTAAGTGCACTCCCAGGTACTTGTAGTCCTCCACAACAGCCACATACTCTCCCAGAATGCACAGGGGTAGAGGAGACGTCCTCACCCTCCTGAAATCAATGACCATCTCCTTTTTTTTCAGAGAGAAAATAAATCTAGATTCGGCTTTTAGTGCATTTCACAACTTTAAGGACCGAATGATTCTAATAAGGGCTATACAATAGTTAATACTGGGTAGTTTATTTAGTCAATGGGAAAAAGTTGTTTTGGGCCGGGTGACGTCACGGACTGATACGGAAGTTGCAGTACCGCCGTTTGGACAATACGAATGTTGGGCACATAGTCCGGCGCACTACCTGGGGGCTTGACCGGAAGTGGTAAAATGCTAACTTACTTCCGGGCTTTAGGACGCGTCACTGTGGCACTCTATTCCCTTGAAGTATACACTGTGACGTAATAACTCTTTTTTTTTTCGAGGGAAGGGGTGGGGGTCAGAGGGCCTAGGTATAAAAGTCACGGCTCGTCAGTGCTTGAAAGCTATTTCATCACATTAATGCAAAAAAAACATTTGGTCCATAACGTTCTGATACTGGCAAAGATATTAGGCCTACATGAATAGCCACCCCATTGACCCCAAGTGGTATGGGAAAATATCTTGTCTTGTCTTATGTGTACATAATACATAATGTCATTGCGGCCAAACATATTCTAGGGTCATTTTATTAGTGACCTAATTAATGCATGATATGAATGCAGTTGTTGAACAGTTTTTACACTATGAGGTACCTTAAAGAGTGCTCTGCTATACTGTGTGGCCTGTGCTGCATGTCTGTTTGGGTGGGTCCCTCGACGTCTGTGGTTCTACGTTAAACTATTTACCATCCGGATGACTGGAATTATCAAGTGCATGAAGAAAATCCAATTACTGACCTTCCCTTGTAATACTAATGCTGTCCAGAACCTCCTTTTTTTCCAACAACATAATGACAGTGGCAGGAAGATCACAAGGTCTTGTAATCCCTCTGCCACTTCTGGCCAGGTGTTTAAATGTTAGGTGATGTTTGGTCAGCTTCATAATGGAGAGCAGAATGTATAAATCCCTCGGCTAATGGATACTTCACTTCAGGTTTATAATTCCATGAGCTTTGTTGCTTATGTAATGTTCTTTTTGAAGGAACATAAACTGATCTGCAAACTGTTTCCAGGCACTTCACTTCCATTAAAGGTTTTCCACCCAGTTGCTGTTTGTTCTCACCATTAGCCAGCGTCACTGTATTGTTTTAATGCTATGTGGTGATTAGGATACTTTTCCACAACTCTGACAATGAAGTTCCTCATTAACTAATGCAGGATTTTGGAACATGTGTCTTATTATTGACAAAATAAAAGATGAATATCTGACTGACAACATGACAAGAGATTTAATTTCAAAAGGCTCTGTTGTTGTTTTGCTGTGATGAGTTAAGTGGTCATGCTAAATGTAAGATGCAGGCCTTTATCTCCTAATTAAAATGATCTAGGTTCCTCTTCTTCTCTCATTAAGGATCAGTCTACTTTCCTGAACCAGGAGCATTTTTTTACATTTATAAAATATATAATGGCCAAGTAGGTCAAGATATATTTTATGTCCCCTTTTCATTTTGTAATGATCCGTTCAAACTTTTCTTTTATTATAACTGTGGGATTATTCCGGGTGATTGTCAACTATTGCTGATTTTTTTTTTTAAATATAAAGTTTTGTTGATGAAGAAGCCTTTTATTCTCAGCCAAGAACAGTATTGCATCTCTTTGGGAAAAGACACGTGCACCCTGAGTCAGCTGAGACTGTTACTGATGAGCACTGAGCATAACGTCGCCCTCTCTGTCATGAATGATCTCCTGTGTTGCAATTAGTTTTCCGTGCCAATTGGGGCCAAACATAAAGCAATGCAAGGAGTGTGAGATAATTGCATTCTTGACAATAATTTTCCCATTGGAATTGTATTTGTCAGCATCAACTCTCATCCCAGGTCAAAGCAGGCAATGGCATCGAGCCCTGGTAACAGCTTGAGTGCAGAGAATGTTTCATTTTAATTGAACTTCCCTTTTCACTGTATGGTGGCTGTGAGCCTCTCCGCTCACACAGGGTTCAAATCAGGACGGAAAGAGCAGGTTGGTGAAACACAGGCGTTTATTAACTCCAAACAATAATAGGCGCGGGTCTCAAACGTTGCCCGGGTGGGAAACTTCACAGGTCCTTTGGCGACCTTCCAGGATCCCGCCTACTGCATAACAGAACAGAACCAGGTTACGACATGCTTTTCTTCCTGCACTGATTACCTGATTCCGATCAGCTGTCTGGCCTCCGGCCGAGCCACTCCCTTCACTCCAGCAGCCAGCGCCCAAACCACACCCCGCTGCCACAGTGGCCTTTGACTCGTTTGAGGTGGCAATTGTCATGAGAGAATAGACATCCATTTTATTAGGGTGAGTGATTTGTTTTATGTGAATATTAGATTTTGTATTTAAAATATTTATTGGAGATAAGCAACAAGACAACGGGAAATTGTATCTTATGGGCCGTCTGTGTTGACGTTGCATGCTAGGTGATAGTTAGGTAGAAGAAGAATATATGAGGTTATAATTTCTTTCAGACGACATCAAGGCAATACTAATGTGTGCGTATATTTGGATCCTCAATCTAAAGTCTCTTCCACAAGCATTTTCCGACATCAAATGGAGCTGTCGGAGACTAATTTAGTGCTTCTGGTATAAAGCCTGCAGGTCTGCTCAATTGTACTAAAAGGCTCATCCAAACTAATGAGTTTCCTTGTGACGCAAGACCTAACTGAGAGGCAGGGAGCTTTATGACCCATCATCCATTACTGTTACATACTGTAAGGGGGATTACAAGATGGCCAGAAACCAACAGCCCAGTAATTAGCCCGAAGAAACCGGATGGACACTACTGAACTCTTGGGAAAGTTTAGTATATTCCTGGAGAGTTCAATGCCACACTATGCTATTACAAGGGAGATTTGATTTAATCCAAATAATCTTTTTTAAACTAGCAGGATAAAAACTCTAGGTGAACTCAAGACCAGAATTGTTCGCAGAAACATCTATGTATGAAGATAAAATATATTCGATTGATGAACAAATTAACACATTTATTTTAAACTGAGTCACAGTGTTCATTATTCAGCTGTGGATTTGATTTGTAGTGTTGTGTTTTTCAGCATTTTTTGGTAAAGTGTCTCTTGGTGGAACAGTTGTCTGACCCTGTCCCCTTTGCCACACAAAAAGAATACATCTTTAGTAAGCGACTGCAAGAAAGACTGTCCCAAGTTTGTTTTATAAAGTTTTCTCATCGCTTCCTGGTAAAATATAATCAAATATGACTCTATTGTGAAGATCGACTGTCTTTTTAAATGCAGTGACATTTTATGGTATTTAAAATGTTTTTCCCTGGCTGTGAGTACACATATTACACACCCATTCCTCTCATGGCCCTATCCCTTTTGATCTATAAGCCACTTAAGACATGGTACTACAATTAAAATCACATTGGCATATTTTAATAAAACAGGCTCTGTCGAATTAGGATTTAATTCTCTGACCATTATAATAATAAAGCCTCTAATATCAGGGGATTTACAGTAGGGTGTGTCCACATGCACATAACACTTTAATTCTTAAAAACATGAGGCATTGACTATGAAAGGGAGATTTTTTTTTTCATTGGTTTCCCACGCATCCAACTTAAAAAAAGACTTCACCACAAAGGATGCTACCAACTGATCAAAATGCCTCATATATTTTTTATGAATTAAACACATTGGATTAATATCATTTACATACACGCTCTTTCATTGGCTTGCTGTAAGTGACGTAGGATGTCTGATTGGCTAGCGGTTTGAGGTAAAACATTTGACTGGCCAATAGACTATGATCAAGTGCTCACTCACTTAATGCAGGATTCCACTGGGAACATATAAAACCCTGCACTGTGGGGAGTGTTCAGCAGATCCACAAGTGAGACTACTGTATCACTGAATTCTTCATTACCAGCAGATACATTATCTCACGGTGAGTACAGACTAAAGAGGATTGATTGAGAATGATTGTGTGAATTAGGCTGTAACTGTATAATATCCAGTTATGTGTTTTTTTTTAAAGGTAAGGACTAAATAAAGAAGATGGTTGCTAACTAAAAATATGTGGTTTTGCTGGTTTGATGACGTTATCTGGTAGGCTGCAGTTAATTCTCCTAATGGACAGAGCTGCTGTTATGGTGGTTGGCAAATGCTTAGTGTCAGCATATCACCAATAACTCTTCTATCTGCCTCTGCAAGTTCAGCAGAGAGAGGGAAGTTAGAGAGGGACAGAGATGCACATAGCTGTGAATGTATGCAGTAGATTAAAAACATGATGAAACAGAACATACTATAACTTTAAAAACCTTTCCTTGCAACAAAATGTTTACAGGCAATCATGATAATGATGAAACTCTGGACCCTCCTTCTTGCCTATGCGCTAATCATTTGTCAGATGTACGTCTCACAGGCAGCTCCATCCAGGTAAGAGTTGTAGCATTATTCCTAAAAGTATAACATATATTTCACTTTTTTAAATAAATTGTGATTGTGTCTGACAATTTATATTGTGTTATTTCTGAAAAATGAAAGTCCCTTCTACGTTTCTAAAAAGAGCAATTACTGCATGTGAGATTGCATATGGTTAGCATTCAATATCTTACTGCTGAATGCGTATTTTCAGAACTAGTAAGGAGTTAATGTCAGATGGAGTCACACTATCGAATGATGATGCCCAGAAGTTACTCCGAGCTATCAAGGAATTCTTGCAAATAACTTCAGATGACCAAGATCACCAATCACCTGACGGAAACAGGTGTGGGATCTATCTATCTATCTATCTATCTATCTATCTATCTATCTATCTATCTATCTATCTATCTATCTATCTATGCAACATATAACACACTTTTGTGTTTAAGCCCTGCAGCTCCAAATTCTTGGTTCTTATTAATGATGAAGGTATACAGTAGAGTTCATGTAAATGTACAGTACACTGTCATTAAGGCTTGAACTGCATGGACTGTTAGTGATTCATTCATTTATCCATTTAGAATTACATTAAATTATGTATCTGTCAAAAACATAACAGAGCATGCTATCCAAGTACATAAAAGAACATGCATGATGGATATAAGAGAACATGAAACTGAAGAAATCATGAAAAGTCAAATACAATAATTTGATTAACAAGATTTCCTTACATGCCTGTTGGATCTTTTAGCATGCCTTCAAGACATTACATTCATTTCACTGACGCCAATTTAGACACAAAATATCATGCATGAAATAATTAATATTTATCTGAATGCATGTTACTGTAAGTCTGTCTCTGCATGTTTGTCTTTGTCTCTAACAGCTTGGATAGACCCATGTCTAAGCGCTGCACCGGCTTAAGCACTTGTGTGCTGGGCAAACTCTCCCAGGATATTCATAAACTACAAACCTATCCACGCACCAACGTGGGAGCAGGGACGCCTGGGAAGCGAAGTCTCTCTGAGCAATATGAAAACTATGGCAATACTTACAAATAAATCTCTCACTTTCTAGCCCACCTATTCATCTGAGTTAATGTTTGCTTGTTCATCCAGCACTATCTGTTCACAGGACTGCTGATGCATGTGGATTGTATTTGTCTGACTAACTTCATGGAAACGTCCTTGATTTATTTTTACACTTGCAGTCATTAGATTTTGACAGAGACTTGAAAATTAAACTGTATATCCCTATACCATTTTAAAAAGAGCTTGAAACCTTTCTAGTGGTAAATAATTATTTTCTCTTTATATAACTATGTTTTCACTTTAATAAATGCATCTAAAAAATGGAAGCTCTTTTTTATTCACCCAAGATTAAAAACATATTTGAATTAAAAAAAATGAAAGAAGAAAAGGGTAAGCATGACCGCCTATAATGCACACACACAAATTATTGAAATATCTACGCATTTTTACTGTGATTAACTTGTAGTTGATGATACTTACCAATAGTATTCAATATATGCCATGCAGATATCTGGCCTGATCTTAAATGTCATAACAAATGTTTTCATTGTCTTTCAATTTACAAGTAATGTAACAGCACAGAAACGGGGATGCAACACGTCCACCTGTGTGACCCACCGCTTGGCTGACTTCCTGAGTCGGACAGGAGGACTGGGACACAGCAACTTTGTTCCCACCAACGTGGGGTCCAAGGCGTTTGGCAGACGAAAGCGGCTCGGCCCTGTGTGAGCACAAGAGCAGACACATGGTATGTTACAACTCTGTGCTTTCAGATCTGTTTAATGGCTGGACGTAAAGCTTATACTAAAAGTGATTTTAATGAAATCATTGTGTTTGGAGACTTGAGAGTTAAATGCAGTGGAAACCTTTTTAATTCTAAATAAAATTAATGACATTGATATGGTTATCATGGGAAATCTCTCAATATATTATTGTCTAATATATGACTTAGAGTGTGTACCATGGAAACAGATATTTTAAGTATAACTAAAGCACTACTGTTTACGATCCAAGTGTTAACTTTACTGATTTGTGCAAGTTATTGGTATGGATATAACAACTGGTATAATAGAATTACAGCAATAGGTACCTTAGTTTGGCATTAACTGGAATGAGATATTATGATTTAATATTGTAATGGTTTGAAGTAAGTTTGGAAGTTCTCAAGTGTATCTTACTATAATGTGGTCATTTCAATATCACACACTGACCAAACCAATTTGCCTGCAGTGACATGTTTGTTACAAGCCTTGCAGGCAGTCCAAAAAAGTCTACCACAACACAATAACTTGATCCCTGTGTGTTACCCATACTTTGTATAGCTCTTTCTCTTCACTGTTCTGTGAATCTGTGAAATGAAACCAAATGTACTGTACACATATTTCACTATTCTAAATCTTTTCATGAGATGAACATGTTTTTATTGTGTTCTTGTCTATTTTTGGCTCCCTAGGACGAAGTGCCTGCTTTGAGGGAGCAACAACTGCATCATCATCTACCTGCAAACACTTGGAAAAAACGTACAGTACTCTACATAAAACATAGACTGATCTCTTGCTTTCAGAAAGTTATAGTCAGTAATGATAATTTGTTGTCTGTGCTTAAAAAACGGAGAAAAAGCATAACCTAAATGTTGTTGAGAAGATTTGTTTTTTGCCAAGAAGGACGACAATATTTTTTTCCTTGTCTTGGCTTTGGCTCAACTGGTCGTCGGATCTGTATCTGAAGTACGGTGTTTCAAACTGAATGTCTTCATTATTGTACATAACGCTATAGGGAAAAATTTACTTATGATTCTAAATATTGTAATAATTGTGAAATGGAAGCAGGAATAAATTGTATTTTAGCTATATTATTCTTTCATGGCTTACTGTGTTTTTGTTTGATTTAGTGATTAAAGGTGTTTAACGTAATGCTGTGAACATCATTTCAAAAAAGTTCATACAACATGTACAAAATCAAGCTATGCTATTTATAACATTCATTTTTCCGTGAAACAAAGATGATAAATTGCATTGACTATGCATACACAATTGGATCATCTCTAAACAAGATTAAAGAATGTTTCTTTAAAAAATGTGTTAGGTGTCAAATCTTATTTGATATTATTTCATTATCAGATGGTTCAATCCATTTGATATGTTCAATTGTTGGTTACCTAGAGCTTCAATAAGAAGACTAGAAGAGTATTCCACAAATGTAATGCCGTACATTTTATTCAATTCATAATAATCATAATATACCTGCAACAAATGTGCAGTTATTGTTACTTAAATTAGTATAAAGTGTTTGAGAAGAGATCTATTACATTTGACACATGAGTTTGTGAGTGTGTAGGTAGGCTATAAGGAAAGAGAATAACCCCATAATATTAGAAGATAATAACAAACACACAACTAACATTACTGATGCAAATTAGCACACGGTTCCCTTCAAAGCCTTACCTATACTGTTTGTTCTGGAAAATGGCGGAACTCACCTTACCGTTACCTTACCTCACAGTTACCTTATTAAAAAAAGAGGGCGGGACATCGTCTCTCTGTTGCACCAATTAACACAAATCAAGCCCTGCTGTCACTCATGCAAAGTTCCAGGCATAAAACTTTGAAACAGTCAATGCAGTGGTTTGGTTATAAATCGTTTTTCGTGGTGATTAGTTGAAAAAGGCTCAGCGGGAACGGTATGAATGCGGACGAATAAAAACCCCTCAAAATCGACGTGGAAAGCAGTTAAAAGGTCAGCAAGGGATGTGGCTATCAACTTGAAAGCTACTTCGATAAAAAGAAACATAACTTTCTCCAACAAAGAAAAAAAGGCCTATCGTCTATTCAAAGGGTGGAAACTTTGGACCAAAGTTGGGCTCAGCCTCATTTGAATTAATATTTGCAACAAACGCACACAAATAAAGACTACAGTAGTGGATGGCATTGGCGCCCCATAAGACATTTAATTTGTACAAGTGCGCACAGACAATGGCCTAAAGTGGTTATAATGCTCTGCAGATAGAGCATGCATGCATCGAAAAAAGACCTCTCAAAATCACAGTGCAAATCGGTTAAGAGGTTAGCATGGGATCTGGCTATCACCTGGAAAGCTATTTCGATCCAGGGTAACATAACTCTCTTGAACAAGGGGGAAAAAAGGACGGTCGTCTTGGACCAAACTATGGAGCGAAGTTGGCCTCAGGCCTCAGTCCTCAGCCTATGTGCGATGAAGACTAAAGAAGTATATGGCACACTTCTACAACGATAGGCGGTGATCCCGACCTCAAGTACTCACCTGCCCTTGAGTAATGTTGCAACTCAAAGTAAGTTATTTTTCTGGTTTTACATCTGCGCTGTCAACAATAACAACGCCTAGAGAAAGTATTGTCTCATGTATATGTTGGTGTCGGTGCCTGTGTGTGGCATTTCTAACAGGTGTGCCAAATTTAGTATCGAAAATAACACAAGTCAATGGATTAACTTGAGTGTTTTAATGATGAGCTCTACTGCCAATGGCTGACTTTTGAAGCTGTTCTCATGATGTGCTGAGTCTCCAATTAGCTGTTTTCCTTCGACTGGCATCCACACTCCTCCTTTCAATTCTACTGTTTTGCAACACATAACACCAATTCATGTATTTGCTGATGTTTCGGTTGATTTCTATACTTTTCTCTCTCTACAACTTCTTTATAGCTTAAGCTGCTTATGTTTGATAAGCTAAATCTATCACATTACCTGAGTCAGTTTCTTGGATGTTTTATCACTTCATTCAACAAATTAAGCAGAGTATCAGTCCTTGAGGCTCTTTGTAAATGTTGGGTCAGTTGCCTTTACAGCAGCTATTTATACTGCTATTGTAAGTCCAAAACACTGTACAAATATGTAGGCCTACTCTGAACGCCACTGTAACTTTTATTTCTAATGTCATACAGACTAGATGTAAGCTCAACTGTTCATATTAGCTTACTTTGTCAGTGTGTTTACTTAAATTGCTTCTTTGGTGCAAAATATTAGTTGGTAATGCTATGAGTACTTTTCTGGTTGCTTTGTAATTCAACAGTCAAGTGTAGGCTACATAGTTTTTCCCTCTCTTACTAAGCTCGGTCTGATATTGGGTCCTCCACTTGGGCAAGTGTTCTGTTATAGCTACAGTTAGTCTGACCTTTTCCTTCCAAACAAAGGATATCCCCGGGAATCATTTTTGTATTTGTATTTATAGGCGTAACATCCCCCTTGAGTGTTGTCACTATTTCTCTAGAGTTTCTGTGTAACAGACCCTGAGCTTCACGCCTTCTTGTCTTTCCTAATTGACATGCTTGTTCTACCAGTTGTTTGACTCTTTTGTTTTGACTCTATCCTAGGGAGAATATCCTTTTTTATCTTGGATATCAACGAGGGATTATTATAACATAACACAAAAATACGTTGTTGTTTTAATTATAACACTATTCAAATTGGGCATTAGTGTCTCTTGTTTCTGAACAATATAAAAATACAATCAGATTTGGCCGAAAAAAATGAGCATGGTAAGGTGGTAGGTGGGACAACTTTAATAAATTGTGACTTGTTAGGGGTGCTGTAGCGATGTTATGTAAACTCAGTAATATCAATGTTACTGAATGCTTAATGTGTACAGACAATGAACTGAGTAGCAATGATTGTGCAATAGTCTGCTGTACTCAGGGTTTTCCTGAATTAAAGGTCACCTATTATGCAAAATACACTTTTTAATGTATTTTATACATAAACATGTGTCCCCTCTGTGTAAAGAGATTCTGAAAGTTTCAGGAAAAAACATTCTCTCTCTTTTTGTCCTGATCCATTTATATAAAACCTGTCTAAAAATGAGCTGATCAGATTTTTCCCACTTTTTGATGTCATAACGATTTTTTGGCTTGTGTAACCATTAGCCAATAACCAACCAAGGTAGGTTAGCAGCAGTGACGTGCGGTGAGGTTCATGGCTGGTGAGGCACTGACTCTTTCAGAGTCAGATTTACAAATATTATATTTTGACCTTGATCGAAATATTCGGTTATTTTCAAAAGCTTTTTTAGTCTGATGCTTCGATTCATTTTAAACAGACCGTTCAACAAAAGGATACCCAAAATCTAAATATTGGATTGTTAAAATGAATCGAAGCATCAGACTAAAAAAGCTTTTGAAAATAACCGAATANCAGCGACAGCCCCAAAACATCACTGCTCTAGAGGAGATCTGCATGGAGGAATGGGCCAAAATACCAGCAACAGTGTGTGAAAACCTTGTGAAGACTTACAGAAAACATTTGACCTCTGTCATTGCCAACAAAAGGTATATAACAAAGTATTGAGATTAACTTTTGTTATTTTCCACCATAATTTGCAAATAAATTCTTAATTTTTTTTCTCATTTTGTGTCTCATAGTTGAGGTATACCTAGGATGAAAATTACAGGCCTCTCATCTTTTTAAGTGGGAGAACTTGCACAATTGGTGGCTGACTAAATACTTTTTTTCCCCACTGTACATGTTTCATGCAAAACTGGTATTAAATGCTTTCCTCAGACTCTTAAATATTCCTACCATGCTCTGTTTTGTATAATATTAGAGCTTTGGGTTTTTGGACAATTCAAGGCATTTAAAGATATCACCTTGGTCTTTGAGAAAGGGGACGGAATTGCTTCACTCCTTTCTGGCATCCTAAGATCAAACAATTATAGAGAAAGTTGCAGCCCTAAGGTGTTTGTACATCATTGTGGGTTTAAACCCATCAGGCTTTAAACACTAGCAAATATTTGCAAAGATTTGAATTGTTGGCTTATAGAAAAACACTGCATAGAGAATTGGAGATCTGAATGTATGAATATGTTACGGTTTCATGATGATTATAGGTTTTAATAAAACAGGAACTATTTCCAAAAGAGAGAAATGAGCAGAGTGTTTTAAGCGCACCCTAAAGAGGTCCACTGCAACCATAGTATTAGTAGTTTTATTCTGATTCTTTATTAACAAAATGTTGGCTCATGTCAATGAATCAAACGTTCAACAACATCTATATATGATTTGAGTATACACGATGTTTCCATATTACTTCTTGATTTTTTCAAATGCTCATCTGAATCTCTACACGCTGGTGTGTGAAAGTGATCAATGAGCAATACAGCCAGTTGTGCTGTGAGATGATCACAGCTTCTTCATATGCATGTGTGATCAGAAGACTTGATGGCAGCAATTTCATTATCTGGAAAGGTCCCACGACGCAGCCCTAATGAGAAGTCCAACAACTAGGACTGCGTCTTGTACGCGTCTTCTTCAGAGAATATCAGATAGGATATCTTTATCAAACATAGTATTTTATAAATCCCTCTGTCATTTACAATTAATCAGATCATCAACAGCAGCATGCATACTGTATCTGAAAAGAAGGCCTGCTTTACATTTCAGAGTACACACAGGGCATTCCTCTGCCTACAAAGAGGCCTTCAGAGAGAGAACCATGAGAGAGTGTGCACCGAGCTGAATCTTTGAGAGCACAACGCACGCCTTGCAGAGTCTGTTTAATGTTGTCTTTAGAAATATATGTTTCACACGGTAAATAAGCCCCAGTGATGATTGGAGTTTGGAAAATGACTAAAGGGCTGTGTTGGCTTGCCTTTGATGAGAGCAGAGGTGACTTAGTCTTAATTAAAAGTATGACATAATTAATATATATGAATATTTTCTTTACCTATTTATTAATAGCACAGCCACAATTTGATCATTCAAAAATGTAAAAAGGACGGTAAAATTACTTGTAGTTATTCTAATTAAGCTGTTAAAACTGCAAAAATGATAAGTGTAATTAAACTAAAGGAGTGGTTTACAAAAGATTTTACAACATGACTGCAAATTGGTGTTCAAGATATTGACATATTCACAGACACAAAATTCTGATTTTGTATGAAACACACTTCCATTTAGTGTTCAATATGTTTATCATGGACTCTAAGATAAC